CGAGCCGAGGGGCGCGGGAAGGAACGCCGGGCTGGGGAGGGAGGCGAGGGTTTGGCGGTCCGTCCGGCTGTGAATCGGGCCGATACTGAAGTGTGTGTGTGTCTGTTTTGGTTGTCTGTTATTCAGGCAGTGGACAGTGAGGTGTTCTGTCGTTTTCTTTTAGATTCTTAAAAAAAAATTTTCTTTTTTCAATTACAGTTTACATTCCGTTTTATTTTGTATTAGTTTCAGGTAGAGCATAGTGTTTAGACAATCATATACGTTACAGGTGTTCCTTCCTCCTGGTTTTTCCGGTACCCGCCTGGTACCATACACAGTTATTACAATATTGTTGACTATATTTCCTATACCACACACTCTGTGTCTTTCAATCAGGAAAACAAACAAACAACAAAAACTCCTTCCTTAGCGTACCGGTTCTTCAGTCCGTCTCAGCGGGTCGGAGCATCTCTGCTGTCTGTTTCTCATCTTATTTTTCCATGCATGATTTCTCCCCAGAGGAGGGTAGGGATCTCTACAGGGTTTACCAACAGGATGGAGCGAGATCTCTCTATTGACGAGTCTGTCCTGGATCCAGGTTTTCGGTGCTGACCAGGCCCAGGTGATTTGCAGGAAAGGGCGCCCTTCTGGGAGGGCAGGGGAAAGACGTGCATGTCGTGTTGTTTTCTTTGGATTGGTATCTGGGTTTTGAGAGCGGTCTGTCCCTCGGGGATAAGTGACAAGGGCCGATGACGCATGTGTGATCTCCCTGCAGGGTGATTGGCACTGTGGTTATACATTCTCGCCCCTTGGGAAAATGCCATGGTAACCGAGAGGATCCTGGCACTGCTCTGAATCTCTCCCGTGAGCTGCCTCTCTGCACCCCACCCCATCCCACCCCACGCACTCCTTAAAGATTCAAATGGATTTGTGTGCATGAGCCATCTCAGCCTCAAAAGTACATAGGCATAAGGTGGGAGAACTTGCTCTATCAGATATTAAAGCTTATTGTCAACTATAAACTATAGAGATTGAGATAGTGTGATACTGGTGCAAGGTTACTGGTGCAAACATACCAATGGAACAGAAGAGAGAGCCCAGATGCAGCCCCGCACATACTTGGACAAGTGATATATGACAAAGGGAAGTGGGGAAAAGGACCGACTTTTCAATACATTATTCTGGGACAATGGGTGTCATATGGAAAAATATGAAATCAAATTTCTCCCAACTTACACTAAGCAGAGCAATACCTTTCGTGTGAACTGTAGACCTTTGAAAGGAAAAGCAATAAAGCTTTTGGAAAACAATATAGGAGAATATTTTCATGACGCCAGAGTAGGGAAAATCTTAAGACACAGAAGATTCTAAAATTTTGTTATATGTCATCATCTATATATATAAAAGCCTAAGCAACCATTATGACCTATGGTCACTGTGGTGTGCACTGACCACCAGGGGACAGACACTCAACGCAGGAACTGCCCCCTGGTGGTCAGTGCACTCCCACAGCCAACCTCCTGCAGCCAATCAACCTCCTGCAGTCCCTCTCCCAGGCCAGCTGGTTGGCTGGCTGGCCAGTCCCAATGGCCCCAACGGGGACTGGGTGAGATGGCCTTGATCACCTGCCAGGCCAAGGGACCCCACCCATGCACGAATTCATGCACCAGACCTCTAGAATTAATATAATATTCTATGTTCTTATCAAAGACTCCAATAAGAAAGTGAAAAGGTAAGCCATAGGCCCTAGCCAATTTGGCTCAATGGATACAGCGCTGGCCCACAGACTGAAGGGTCGTGGGTTCGATTTCGTTCAAGGGCACGTACCTAGGTTGCAGGCTCAATCCCAGGCCCTGGTCAGGGCAAGTACAGGAGGCAACCAATCCATGTGTTTCTACCACATCAATGTTTCTCTGTTTTTCCTCCTCCCTTCCACGCTCTCTGAAAAAATCAATGGAAAAATATCCTCCGGTGAGGATTAATTAACTATCTAACTAACTAACTAACTAACTAACTATATAAATAAATAAATAAAATGAATAAATAAAAAACAAAAAAAGTAAGCCACAAAGAGGGACCCAGGATAAAGATCCTTTACTCTGAGCCAGCCTGATGCATTTGGAGGATCAGGTTCCATTCCAGGCATCACACAGAGACACTGATAAATTTCATCCTGCCACTAACTTCTGGGTGCAGTTGGGTACGAAAGTTAAATGTTCAGAAGCTGTAACATTTTTCAATGTGAGGTGATGGCTGTGTTAACTAAACTTGTCATGGTAATCATTATAATTTATACAGTCATATGTCAATTATATCTCAATAAGGCTAGAAAAAATTAAAAATAGATATTCTGAGCCTTAGCTGTAAAAGGACAGTTATGGCGCCCTTTGAATAGCGGTGTTGCAAGAATCAGTAAAATGGTAATTGAAAAGTCCTTTTCTCTGCGTCCGATCCACGGTCGGCTCAGTATTGGCAATTGCTAGAAAGACAACCAGGATAGTGGAGACTAAGGAAGCTCAGATTCTTGAGAAAAGAACACATGTTTACCTGGGGAAGAAAACACACTTGGAGGGCTGCCACAGAGGCCGAGGAGAACTCGCGGGTGGATGTTAGAGAGGCAAACAGGAAGAACTTTCTAACCATTTGAGCTGTCCATCAACAGAACAGGCTTGAGAAATTCTGAGCTTCTGATGCCTGGAAGTCTCCTGGGGGGGTCTCCACGGTCTTTGCTACTTGGGGGTGTAGGAAGATTTCTGCACTGAAGTGGAAGTTGGAGGCTCCACAGAAGTGGCCTTGCCTTCTGCTCTGAGATTTGGTTCTGCTGTGAATCCTCACGCACACGCAGGCTTTTACTCACGCCCACTCAGGACCTTTCTCATCATTTACCCAGTGGCTTTCACCATTTTTTTGTTTGTTTGTTCATTTGTTTCTACCAAGATCCTCGGTAAGACACCTGTTTACATCACCATCCAGTACACACATACACAAAACTGAAACAAAAGTTTAAGAAATAAACTGACCGGTGTGGCTCAGTGGTTGAGCGTGGACCTATGAACCAGGAGGTCACAGTTTGATTCCTGGTCAGGGCACATGCCTGGGTTGCGGGCTCGATCCCCAGTGTGGGGCGTGCAGGAGGCAGCCGATCAGTGATTCTCTCTCATCATTGATGTTTCTATCTCTCTCTTCCTCTCCCTTCCTCTCTGTAATCAATAAAAAATATATTTTTAAAAACTTTAAGAAACAGTATTCACCTTTACTACATGTAAAAGTACTGTACACTCACATTTTTTTTCCTTTTTAAAAGTTGGTTACAATCTACTGAATTGATTTCATAACTCACTAATGGTACTTAGCTCACATTTAGTAAAACCCTAATGAGCT